CCCTCCTTATAGCTTCTATATTTAGTTTCATTTTTCTTTATCTTTCTAAAAGTAATATTACACAGAGACATGAAATTCAATGTTTATATATATTAATGGACATAGAAGTCCACAAAATATATTATTTGGTGAAAAAATACACAGTATAGAACAGCACTTATATTTGATCACCTTTACTTATACATGTATCTGGGTACACAGGTACAGGGAGATGTCTGGAAGAACATTCACCAAAGGGCTGACAATGGTTACAAAAGTTTCAGGTAATTTGTACTTTAGTTTTTGTATCTTCCTTTATTTTTGAAGATTTAATGAAGAGATGCTCCTTTTATAAAAAGCATAAAGTCACCAAATAAATAGACACATGAAGAATAGACCCTTAAGCTGGCAGAGAAGGGAGCAGGAACGGAAGTCACATCATTCCCCTCCACTGTGCTGGTAAACAAGACCTCTTCTTCCCAAAGGAAAACTGCTTTGTGGATTAATTCATGCAGTTAGAAACCCACCCCACACTCCCCATTATTCCCCTCACCAGACTCTGAAAACAGTTAAGGATTCATTTAGGTCTGGGTCTATATCCTTACTGTGGCTCAGAAGCATCACTGTGCTCTCCAGGGACCTCTTTTGACCTCTCCTCTGTATGTGTCAGCTCCTTCAGGGTGACGATCAGATTCTCAAAAACCGGGCCTTGTTGCTCTCATTGTCACAGGTTTCTTTTGAGTGGCCCTCCTCACCACAATATGAACAGCGGATTGTGTATTTTCGCTTCCTGGCTCTACGAATATTACCAGGACCATCCTTATATCCAGAACCACCACTGGTAGAAAGAGACTGAGCCCCAGAATTGTTGGGGAAATCAATGACCAGCACTTGATCCAGAGGTCTGGCTCTTCCTCTGAAGGGAGGGGCACTTGTGGGTGTCAGTAGAGGGTCAGGAGACTCCACCAGGACCACATCCTCATCGGAGTCATCAAGGGTATCATCTATTTCAATCACGTTGCAGTTACAGTCAGCACTGCCAATTGCTATTGGCTGGGAGCCCTGAAATGTCACAGGGCTGGCTGCCGTCTCCATTATTGGCTCAGACCTTTTCGGCCGCTTCCGTCTAATAAATGCATCATCCCAATCCTCTTCCTCCCTTATCATCTTGATTAACTCCAGGAAATTGGGAAGCCGCTCCTGCTCATTTGCATACATCCTAAGAAGATGCTTAAGCCTGAAGCGCAGGTCCTTATTCAGCTCAGTGCCTAAAAGCAGCCGTTTCAAGCGAGTGTGGTTTGCATCTTTCTCAGCTAGGATGCCTGCCTGAATAGCATTCTGGAGCTGCACCTCTAAACGGATCACATAAAGAGAGGCTTTCTCCCCTTGTGCCTGCAGGGTGTTAAAAAATTTACCATGGGCAGTCACACTGCTTTCATACTCCCCAAACACCAATTTCATGGCCCGCAAGAAATCTGCTACACTTAGGTTGGGGTTGGCAGCCTGAAGCAAACGCATGACCTCCCGGGCAGGGCCCTTAAGGGTTTTCATCAAGCGCTTGAGTTTTTCCTCCTCAGACATACTCCAATCTGGCAGGACCCCATTGACTTGGATCAGCCAGTTTTCAAAGATTTCTTTCCCGTGGGCTGGCACCACCCTCCCCGAGAACAACTTCATGTTTCTCTCTGCCATGTTGACCATTAAAGGACCGAGACTCCTCCCCAGAGACCTCAACATGGAATGGGCCCAAGGTGGCAAAGGTGCATTCTGCCTCCGGCTGTTACCCACACGTGCAATGATGCTAGCCATTACTGACGACAACAGGGTATCTGAATATAAGATGCTCGCACTTTTTGGAAAAGCCTTATCTGCAGGATTCTCCAGAGCAACGATCCTGGGCTTTGCCTGCTTTGTATTTCAGGAGGGACTGTAACGAAAATAAAAACGGTTAATAAGGCTGTGGGGAAGCAGTCTGCAGTAGCATTCTCCATCTTCCTGAATAGCCTTGCAGTGCATTTTATATCTGCCCAGTGCCTTAAAAATACCCTGCAGGAGACTGGCAATTAAGACATTCCAGAGCTAGCAGGTGCCCCTGGACTAGTAGGGTGTTTATCAGAGCCACATCTGTCCCCTCCTGCCTGCACTCCAGGAGGGGCGAAAACTGTTGCTTCTAATTCGAGATGACATAGTGTTTGGAGCTAATACTGGACCCTCAAAACAGAGCTCAATGGTGTGTGTCACAGATTTATGGTAATAATAACCTATTAACCTCATGGCCTCAGGTCTCAATCACACCCCCTTGTCAACGTTTCCCCTGTTATTTCTCAGATTCTTACGTGAGCTCGGAAACTAGCGTTCGCCTTTATTTTACTTGCAGCCTCTCAACAGGTGCCTGCCACGAGAAAATTAGCCTCTGGGGTACGGCCGACTTTTGTTCACTGGGGGTCACAGATCCCAGTCCTCAGGGCCTCAAGACTGGGCCACAAAAGAAGAAAAGGAAGCATTGGAAGCAGCCTCATCAGAAAACCTGATACCTCCCCTCCACCGCCTCTACTTTCACCAGGTGGAAAATTCCCTCTCCCATCTTCTGAACAGAAGCCAAAGTGCCTCCTGCCCCGCCCCCCACCCCCTTACATTTCCTCGGAGAAACCGTCCGCCTACCGGCTCTGTGCAATCAGCCGCACAGAATTCAAGCTCAGATTCGGCTTTGATGATCTGACAGGGAGAGAGACTAGAAATTGGACAATCTCCCACCCCCCATATTCCTTCCCAGGGAGAGATGAGGAGATGCACAAGGGGTTCAAGACAGCTTCCAATCATCCCCACCCGCCCCTTGCCACCTCCCCAAACACCAGCCCCTCCACCCCCAACAACACCGCCGCCCACCTCAATCCAGGCAAATCCTAAATCCTACCCAGGTGAACCACAACTCCTTCCTCAGCGCAACCAGGCCATGGGAGTGCTCCATCCCCTGCCTCGAAGTTACCGATCCTCCAAACAGGGGCGGCGCTTCCCCGACCCCTCTCCGCGCAGGGCAATCGCGCGCTCTTTCTTTACCTGCGCTTCCCTGGTGGGCAGCCTGTTGTGCTCCCGCGTCGACAGCTCTGTTTCAACGCCTTCCGGTTCCCGTAGCTCTGCAGGGGCAGAGGATCGCTGGCGCCTCCTCGGCCGCTAAACGACCCGGGTCTGCCCGACCCAGCGAGTGCTTCGCAGGACCGCCCAGCGAGGGGTAGCTGAGTCGAGGCAGCGCGGTTCCCAAGGCAGCCACGGCTGCGCCCACCCTCCAGTTCGGCCCTCCGGGCAGCCGCGGTTGCTTTCAGTCTCTGCCCATTGAAACAAAGAGCGTGAGAGCGTGACGAGCCGGGCGGCGCGGCCAATCAGTGGGGCGAAGGGAAAGGCCTCCTCCCGCAGCCTCCGGCCCGAAGCTGCTGCTGGCTAGAGTAGGGAGCTGGGAGCCCGCAGGCGGGGGCTGCTGCAGACAGGCGCGGGAGCCGGCGCAGCGTCAAGTGCAGGTCGGACTCACGGACCGGGCCCATTTCCCTTTCACCCGTGAGTTTGCTGCTACCCCGTCGTTTCCCTTCTCCCCATCCCCTTCCACCTTGGCGCTCATCCGGGCTTTGAGACCGGATGCCTTAAACACGAGGTGGGACAGAAACCAAGTGAACAATGAGAGTTCCTCACCTTTGTATAGCGGGAAGTGGGGAAATAGCGTTTCCTGTGTGCTTTCTGTGTGCAGATGCGCCTGCAAGGACATCTTCTTCTCAGCAGCCGTGTGAAAGGGTAGCAATGTGCCCATTTAACAGGAAAGGACTGAAGCACCCACGCAGCACAGTTAGGAAGTGCAGAGCTAAGAGCTCACACCCAAGTCAACATGTCTGACTTCAAAGACTGCCCCTTGCCAACACTCCTCTATTCTGTCAGATTAAGGGTTAGTGGGGAAAAACCAAAGCCAGGTTGGGAGGACCAACTTGGGATTGCATAGAATTAGTGAGCAAGGACTGTTATTTCCATTTCACAGATGAAGAAACTGAGCCAAAGAGAGAGAGAGGTTATGAGTCTTGCCCTGTATCTTGCCCTGAGTTAAGCATCCAACTCAGCACCCCCGTGTTGCTCTCTAGATGCTAATTGTTTGCCCTGCAGCGCTGCCTGGAGAGCATTTTTGCACAGGTAGTCTCAAACCATCTCAATAGCAGTCTCAATGTGACGATAGTGGTGAGGGAGAAGGGGAGGAGGTAGTGGGGAGAGGGCTGAGGGCAAATGGAGGCAGCCTTTATGGTGCCCGTTGCACGGAAGTGGAAACTCTTCTTGGCACTTTCTTTCTTTTAGTTTTTTTGTTAATACTTTTTTTTGTTTTAAACACAACAAGCTGCCTGTTTGATAAAAGCAACATGATTTCTGTAGCCCTTTGCAAACCCAACGGAGGCAAGGCTCAGAGAGGTAAAATGATTTGTCTGAAGTTACAAGGTGAAGCCAAAATTTGGACCTAGTCTCTGAATCCAGAACTCATGCTATTAATTAAAGTATGAGTGCAAGGTGGGCTGCCTCAGAGTCATTTTGGAGCGCATGTAACAAATGCAGATTCCGGGGTCTTCCTCCTGGGGGATTTTGATATACTAGGACTAGGGGTGAAGAGTGTGATTTGTAGTTTTAACTAGTTCTGTAGTTGATTCTGAGGTGTAGGGAGATTCGTGAACCACTGTTCTAAACACCACCTGTGATGTTGAAGGTTATAAGTAAATGGGCCTGCTGTTGGTGTATTTGTCCGTGGCATGTCTGTCATGACATGTAACTCCAGAGCACAGGTTCCTACCCGAGGTCCTTCCTAGAGTTGTATGCAAAGAATCTGGCCTCCGTACATTTTTCTGAGTCCACAGTTCTGTAGATTTTCAAATGGGCTTGTCATAACGTCTTCCTTCTTGAAGTCATGCTTGAAGAAGTGTGAGAAATAAAACCCCATTTAACCTAACCCCCAAACCACAGCTGTCTGTCACTGATATAGCTCTTTCATTTCCTGGCTCAAGGACAGGTTGCTAGGTTGCCCTTCTGTGAGCTCTTCAGAGGACTTCTCCTTTGCTGGATTTGGCATCACTGGCCCCAGAGAGGGAGCAACTCCATGGAAACGGCATGCAGGGCTGTCCAAAGTGAATGACCATGAAGGCAGTGGCTGGAAAACTGCTCCATTTTTCTCTGGCTTAGAAAGCAGGTATTACTTTCTTTATGTACAGTGTGTCTAGGAGGCTCTTGTGGGGCTTGTTCTTGACTTCTGATGCTTAGAAACAAGTAAACACTCTGATACCTTCGGCTGCTGTTAGCTTCTTCTTCGGCCTGCCAAGGTACTTCACCTTCTCTTTTCCACCCTCTTATTTACATCACCAAGATCTAGAGTTCCTTGTAGTAAAAATACAAATTTGGAGATGAATCACCTTCCATCTCAGGATCATGGCCTGTGAATGGAACAGTGGGGTAGTGGTGGTGGAGGGTGGAAAGTGTGGATGTATGGAGAAGGCAGGTTGCTCACCTTATACACTCAGGGGTGATGCTGGCAGTATCTCTTAGGTTTCCTTCAGACGTTTGCTTCTGCTCCCCTGTCCCGTGACATTTGACTCTCATCTCCTAGAAGACTCCTGTTCAGTGTTTTAATTGGCTTCATCACTGAATTAGGTATTGCTGCTGGACTTGGTAGGCGTAGAATCACATAAGACCAAGAACAGATCTCAGAGCTCTGGCAAAAGTAATGACAGGAAATGGATTGTGTAAAGGTACCAGGGCTGGGCTACTGGAACAAAGCAAGGGACTCTGTGCAGGGATGGGGCTAGTATTTGCAGCATGGCTCCAGCTGGATACAAGGCATCCCATCTCTGGCCTCATATGTATGAGTGTGATCCAACTGATGGCTTTAGTGAGACCACATTTTCTAATTTCAACAAATAAACCCTTAAAAGCTTGAAGGTTTGGAGATAAAGCTTTCAGTTGAAACAATAATAGCTGACTTTGACTGCCTGACCCCTTTGTGCCAGGAACTTTCTATCTGTTACCTCATTTAAGCTTCTCAGCAACCCTGTTGAGACAGACAGTCTATCCCATTTTGCAGAGAGGGAGACTGAATTTCAGGAACGTTAAGTAACTTGTGTAAGGCTTCACAACTTGTAAGTGGGGGCACTGGGACTTCAGGCCAGGGATGTCAAACTCCAAAGCCCAAGAAAACTCTTCTTTGCTGCCTTCCAAACTTCTGCAGATGACCCAGTTCATTAGACCAATTGCAGCCTTTACAATTTAGTTGTTATCTTGCCTTTATTCCTATTATCTCATTTTAAAAAAATGAAATAATATAACTTATAGAGCAACTTAAATAACAGGTGTTATGCTAAGCACTTTCCACACTTTGCCTCATGCATCCTTCATGACAATCCTTCTACGTATAAGGATACTAAGGATCAGAGAGGTGAAGAAACCTGGCTAAGGTCATAAAGCTAGGAAGTGACAGAGTGAAATTCAAACCCAGGGCTGGCTGAATCCAGAGCCCATGTCTGTGCCTTACAACACAATGCAGTGGGGAAGACAAATGTGGTCTTCATTCTAAATGGGCTCCTGTCTGTCAGCCACAGCTCTATCTCTTTCTCACCACATGGGGTAGGCCAACCCCAAGCACAACTCACACTTTTAAGCCCATGTGCCTTAGGCCCTCAGCCTAGAATACTTGCCCTCACTCCTCTACCTAACAAGAGGCTATTCTATGCTACTGGATTGAGTCATATGCCTCTTCTCAGGTGGAATACATTGCTCTTGTCTTTTTGCTTCTACCTTCATTAGCGTACCCTTTATTTTGTCTTTCTGTAGAGTTTAGCTCATTGCTGGCCTGTCTCCCTTACTAGATTCCCAAGCTCTTGAAAGCAGGCACCAAGTTCTATTTACTGTAGCTCCATGGTGGTTTACCCACAATGATTTAGTGGATGATCAATACATGTTTGTGAGCTGACCAAAGGACTGGCTGAGAGATGCCCCAAATGAACAGACAGATGCATTCATTTGTGGCTGGATCCTGGAGCAGTCACACAGGCTACCCATGTGGACTAGACTGGCTGGGAGAGTCTGGAATCCCCTGGGCTCGTTTTACTAGGCTGTAAACATAGGAGGCACATCATAGGGTAAAGGTGATATCTGCTCAAGGCCAATTCTAGGTCCATTCTGTGGTCTGTACTTTAGAATTCATGTGAAGGGGCCAGGCTCTCCTAGTTTGTTTATGTTGCACCTTCCCATTCATGGAAGAAAGGGCTTCCCTGCCTCCCTTAGGAACACAAGATTCGTTCCCACATGTCACTTTATCTGCTTCTGGCTGTTCTGAGAGTGTCCTGAAGGAGTATGTGCTCTGAGGAGACAGATAGTGAGTCCTGAAGCTTTTTTTTTTTTTTGATACTTTTTATCGAGGCCACCATGTTATGGATTCTCAACCACTTTATCTCATTTTATGTTATTAATCTCTGCCACACGTTTTCAGGTGGGTCTTAATGTCCCTGTTTTGTAGCTGAAGAAACTGAGACTGAAAGAAATGTCTTGCCCAAGGTCACACAACTAAGTAAGTGGCAGAGGCAACATGCAGTCTCAGGTCTATCTGCTCCCAAAGCCTGGCATCTTAACAGAAAATACATGGGAGAAACACGAACTCCCCCTGCATAAAATGGAAAGGATTGTATTTATAAAATGGATTACATATTTAAGGTGAGATGTTTCTTAATTATTGTTTACTTTTAATCCCCCAAGATGATTTTAAAAAATGGCAGAAGGAGTTGGGAATTGAAAAGTACAATTCCTCTATCAATTATTGACCTGAATGCCCCCATATCAACACCCTCTGACAGATACATTTTGGAGATGACTACAGATTATTTTGCCCTTTCTGCTCCATTTACAGCTCAGGTGGGTAAGGCTCCAAGATGTCATTGAATTTCTAAGGGTCACACATCAAGTTAATAACAAAACTCACTTAGAATACTGGTATCCCATACTACCCCACCCGATTCCTGGCCTTGCTGCAGTAGGTGCAATAGTCGGGAGTCCTCGCACTGCCAAATCGTAGCCCAGTTTTCTTTCTGCTACATCATCCTACCTCATGGCGTCAGTGAATACATGTTAATAAATGGTAGGGAGGAAGTGGAACATTATTGCACTGTGAGGTAGAAGAGGGGACAAACATTTACCTCACCACCTGTACTTATTTAGGTGCAGGTAAGACTTGGGGAAGAAGACCTTTGGTAGGAGAGCTGAGAACTGTTGGGGCTCCTGTGGATTTAACAACCTGGGTATCTGGGAGGAGTCCCCTTTGGCTCTGGAGAAATGGAAGTGGGGCTGCCAGGGGATAGAGGTGCCCCACAGGGATGCAAATAGTTGGACTCTTGAGCTTTTATTCCTGCTTAGTTCACAGCTAAAGATTCAAAGGCAGAGGGGCCCTCCCAGTATACTGGCCATGAGCGTTAAGAAGGCTGAGGCTTAAGGCCGTCATGGAATGTGGGGGAAGGGGAAGGTGGTGATGGGCAGAGCACAGGAGGCTGAGCCTCCATCTCCCTCCACCAAGAGGTGAGTTGGCTCGTGGGGAGGGGAGTGGCGGTAAAGTGAGATTGTGGGAAAATGTATAGAGCAAGGGGGAATAGGAATGAGATTGTGGGGATATGGATGGGGCAAGGGGGATAGGAATGAGACTGTGGGGATATGTATGGAGTGGAGTGAGGTATGAATGTGACTGTGAGGATAGGAATGGAGCAGGGGGTATAGAATGAGATTGTGGGGATGTGGATGGAGCGGGGCAGGCGATAGTAATGGGATTGTGGGGAGTTGGATGGAGGAGGGGGATAGGAATGGGATTGTGGGGAGTCGGATGGAAGAGGGGGATAGGAATGGGATTGTGGGGAGTTGGATGGAAGAGGGGGATAGGAATGGGATTGTGGGGATGTGGATGGAGCAGGGGATAGGAATGGGATTGTGGGGAGTTGGATGGAAGAGGGGAAATAGGAATGGGATTGTGGGGATATGGATGAAGCAGGGGGGATAGGAATGGGATTGTGGGAGATGGATGGAGCAGGGGGGATAGGAATGGGATTGTGGGGATGTGGATGGATCAGGGGATAGGAATGGGATTGTGGGGATGTGGATGGAGCAGGGGATAGGAATGGGGTTGTGGGGAGTTGGATGGAGGAAGGGAAATAGGAATGGGATTGTGGGGATATGGATGAAGCAGGGGGGATAGGAATGGGATTGTGGGGATGTGGATGGAGCAGGGGATAGGAATGGGATTGTGGGGAGTTGGATGGAAGAGGGGGATAGGAATGGGATTGTGGGGATGTGGATGGAGCAGGGGATAGGAATGGGATTGTGGGGAGTTGGATGGAAGAGGGGGATAGGAATGGGATTGTGGGGATGTGGATGGAGCAGGGGATAGGAATGGGATTGTGGGGAGTTGGATGGAAGAGGGGAAATAGGAATGGGATTGTGGGGATATGGATGAAGCAGGGGGGATAGGAATGGGATTGTGGGAGATGGATGGAGCAGGAGGGATAGGAATGGGATTGTGGGGATGTGGATGGAGCAGGGGATAGGAATGGGATTGTGGGGAGTTGGATGGAGGAGGGGGATAGGAATGGGATTGTGGGGATATGGATGAAGCAGGGGGGATAGGAATGGGATTGTGGGAGATGGATGGAGCAGGGGGGATAGGAATGGAATTGTGGGGATGTGGATGGAGAAGGGGATAGGAGTGAGATTGGGGGGATGTGGATGGAGCAGGGGGAAAGTGATTGGATTGTGGGGAGATGGATGGAGCTGGGGGGACAGGGATGGAGGTGTGGGGAGATGGAGCAGGGGGTATAGGGATGGGATTGTGGGGAGATGGAGTGGGGGGTAGGGATGGGATTGTGGGGAGATGGAGCAGGGGGGATGGGGTAGGGTTGTCGGGAGATGGATGGAGCAGCGGGGATAGGAATGGGATTGTGGATGGAGGAGGAGTGATAGGAATGGGGTTGTGGGGATGCAGATGCAGCAGCGGGGACAGGAATGAAACTGAGGATACAGACGGAGCAGGTGGGGGATAGGAATGGGTTTGTGGGGAGATTGATGGAGGAGCGGGGATAGAAATGGGATTGTGGAGATGTGGATGGAGCAGGGGGAAGGGGCTAGAGAAGAGCAGAGCTGATGGGAGTGATTCTGGAAGGACAGAATGCCAAGGCAGCTTCTGGGCCTGGCAGCCCCAGGAAGGCTGCACTGGGCTTCTTGCAGTGTGTGGTGTCTACTCTTCCCTGGGGACTTCGGCCTGTACTCTCTGGTCCCCCATCACCCTGCTAGCTTAATTAAAGTCCCAATCTTCATGCCCCCTACCACATAGTCCAGGGTTCTGTGTGAAACCTGTGGGTCTGCAGTTCCTGCCAGGCTTCCTGTCCCTGTCACTGTAGGTGGGAGCCCTCCAGTCTGGCCATCATCGTGCCCCTTCCCCTCTTCCCTGTCCTGCCCCACACCCACACTGCTCTGTGCTCCTTTCCCTGAGGTAACAGCTCTGGCTGCTGCACACCCCGTCTTGTCAGCCCAGGGACCCCCTCTTCCCTCCCCAGAAAATTACCTCAGATCTGCATGAGCATTCTTTTTTTTTTTTTTTGATCCCAAAGTTTCTTCATATGTCCTGGCTTCCAAGTTGCTTCTCATGCTAGTCATCTGCTTCCTGGTCTTTCTGGGGTAAGGAGCAATAGTTTGGAGTCCTCGCACTGCCAATTGTATCTAGTACAGTGGTTCTGAGCTGGGAGCAGTTTTGCCTCCCAGGAGACCTTTGTCAAGGTCTGGAGATAGTTTTGGTCATCACAGTGGGTTAGTCACCACTGGTGCTACTGGCACACACTTAGCTGAAGCCAGGGAGCCTCTGACCATCCTCCAATGCACAGGACAGACGCCAAGGATGAAAATTATCCTGCCCAAAATGTCAATAGCACTGAGGTTAAAAAACCCCGCTCTATTATATAGCTACAGATCTGCAAGGTTAGGCTTGGAAACTGCCAGGTGCTGAGCCTTTAGGCACTGAACTTTCAGGAGCAGCTGCTCTTTCCTTTCCTCACTTGCCAGATGGGGGCTGGGCGTTGCCATGAAACAGCTACAACTTGGGCAGGAATCTATGGAGAGAAAGGCAGGGCAAGATTCCTCCTCCCCAAATTTAATACCAACTTTTAGAGAAAGCATTGCACTTCAACTGTTAAATGCCTTTCTACCTCTACAAGATAGTGCCAGTTTTTTTTTTTGAAACAGAATAGTAACTTATTATTCTCACAGTTTATAAAATGCACAGTTTCATGTTGTGAAAGTTGATGCATTAAGTTTTGGAGTCTTCCCCTCCTCTGTTTCATGTTCTTCAGTTGTAATCCTTCTTTGAATATTGGAATATTTGCTGTGTCAGCAAAGCACTGTAGTGGTGGCTCTGTCCAAAAAAAAAAAAAACTGATTGCCTTTCTTTTAATGTAAGATTAATGAATTCTTAATTTCTTAAGGGTGTGCTTATTTATCAGAAACTGGCTCAAAGAGTTGCTTGTTTCCTTTGACCTGAGTTTTTTAGGATTTTTTTTTCTAACTAAGCAAAGAAGATTCTTGCCAACAAATTTAAATGGTCAGTCTAATCTCTTTTTTTTCCACCTTTGCCAGTTTCTTCCATCTGCTCCCATTTGTCTTCAGCATGGGGGAACAGAACCACTCTCCCGGGAATGAGCTTCAGCACAGGACGAGAGCAGAGGTTCCCGGAAAGAAAAGCTGGCACTCCCAGGCCTATGCCCTTGGGGCTGTTTCCAACTTTATGTCTACTTTTCTGACCTTTCCTATCTATAAGATTGTGTTCCGGCAACAGATCCATGCCATGGCAGTGTCAGAGGCTGTGAGACAGCTTTGGCACGAAGGTCCTCAATATTTCTACCGGGGAATCTACCCTCCTCTTCTCTCCAAGACGTTGCAAGGGACTCTTCTGTTTGGGACTTATGATAGCCTGCTGTGCTCTCTCTCTCCTGTTGGGCCACACACTCTGGGACATCGCTGGGCTGCAGGGCTCATGTCTGGTGTGGTGGAGGCTGTGGCACTCAGTCCCTTTGAAAGGGTGCAAAATGTGCTCCAGGATGGTCGCAAGCAAGCTCGCTTCCCCAGCACCTTCAGCATTCTCAAGGAATTCAACTCTTACGGTCTTTGGGGGCGCCTGTCACTGGGCTACTATCGTGGTTTCTGGCCTGTCCTGGCCAGGAACAGCTTGGGGAGTGCTCTGTATTTTTCTTTCAAGGACCCAATCCAGGATGGCCTGGCAGAACAAGGCCTTCCCTATTGGGTTCCTGCCTTGGTGTCTGGTAGTGTCAATGGAACAATCACCTGCCTAGTTCTGTATCCTCTGATTGTGCTGGTTGCTAATATGCAGTCCCATATTGGATGGCAGAACATGCCAAGCCTGTGGGCCTCTGCCCAGGATGTGTGGAACACTCGGGGCCGAAAGCTGCTCCTGATCTACCGTGGAGGCTCCCTGGTCATCTTAAGGTCAAGTGTGACATGGGGCCTCACTACGGCAATCCATGACTTCCTGCAGAGGAAGTCTCGCTCCAGGAAAGAGGTGAAGACTGACTAGCTGCAGAAAGTGTGGCCATGGTAGCTTTGGTATTCTAAATCTTCCCTGGTGGGTTCTATACCGCTTACTTCTTTGGCTCAGTTGCCTAATACAGCCATTCTTTAGCATCTGTAAGCTCAATGCATGGGAGAAGTTCCCGACTACCAACCTGTTGAGCATGGACAAAGCCCAACAGGATTCCTTAGTCAAAAAGAAACGTTTGCCTCAGTCTCTCCACAGCTTCAGTAGCCTCAGAGCCAGGAGGCCTTTAAATAACCATGTAACCCAGATTAAGTGTCATTCCTTTAAGGAAGTCCTTGACAATAAAAGGAAACTTAAAAAGATGAGCTTACTTAGCACTGTGAGCTCTGGGACCCTTCTAGGTGTCCTCCAGACCAAAATGAGTGGAACTCCAGCTTCAAAGAACTATGCTTGACTCTTAGGATGGGAATTTCATAAAACTTCTCAGATGGCTACATTTTTATGATATTGTTCACTTCCTCTATCACCACCCCTCACTTCTCAAGACTGTGGATCCTACTTTCAGGGTAGCAGCTGTGGCTGGAAATCCTAAATTAGACTTGCTTAAACTCATCATGTCCCACAAGAACTAGTGGGGCTGGAGATGGGAGTGAGAAGAGGTGTGGCCCATGGATGGAAAGAATAAAAACTTTGAAAGAAGAGATTTAATTACATGCAAAATAGAAACATTTAATATTGTCTGCTTGGTGTTATCTGCCAGGATATTTCTGAGAGCAAGGTGATAACATTGCCTAGAAACTATTTGAATTTCTCTAAGAAACATGGAAGTGAAGTGACCATATCTCTTCACAAATAATCGCGTATTTCATTGATGTGGTAAATGTAGTTGCTATGACATCAAGATGAGAAATCTTAGCCTGTCATTCAGAGGCATTCAATATATGGTCCTCATATAACTTACAACATATTGTCACTTGACTTACATAAACCCCAAATACTAGCCAACGTGAACTATTCTTCTCTCCCCAAACATTCCATGAACTTTCCCATGGCCATACTTTGGCCCACACTATTCTTTCCTCCTGCAGTGCTCCTTCTTCACATGTCAGTCTACCAAAATCCTTCCAGTTCCTCAAAGCTCAGCTCAGAGGTCACCTTCTCTAAGGAGCCTCTTGATTTCCCCCAAATGAATGTGACATTAGTCTCTGTGATGCCCCTTTCTAACAGCACTTCATACATGGTACTGATTCCATTATGTCACTAATCTCATGCGAACCTGTGTTCTTGTATTCTTCAATACCTCCTACTAGACTGTAAAACTTATTGAAAGCAGGGATTCTTGTAAGCATTTTAAAATCTTCCATTGTGCCTGGGTGCTCAATAATGTTGGTTGAATTATTGAATTGATTATCAAGCTGTGATATGGTATATCCTCAGGGTGCTGTCCCTTGTACATGAAGATAATGTTATTGACTCACTGTCAGCAAGACACATGCCTTTGGGCTGTGTTTTTGTTTTCTTTTAATAGCGGATTTAGTTTTGTGCTAATGATAATGATGCTGCTGCTGATGATAATAACAATAAAAAATTAATTTCAACTGGAATATTTGATGAGTTTGTGTTACTGATGTCATGTTTGCTATCAGCACCATTTCAGAAACTGAAATTTCGTAAACAGAATCACACTGTATAACTGTCCCATTTGTTTCAACTCTGGGATTTTGAAGATTTCCAAGATGACATGTGTTATAGATTTCCCTTACAGATATCTTGATAATGCCCTCTACTTGCATCTCCTTACTGAACCAAATTTGTCTTTTATTTGTCTTAGCTGGTTGTAGATTTAGCAGTGAGAACTTCTCACTGAACGCCACAGAAATTAAAGACACAGTTGTTGGAGGTATGATGTCAGAGAGCATTTGCCGCCAAGGTTGGCAGAAAATGGCTGGTCCAAGAAAGGTGAAGATGAATTTCCACATCTGTAGATCTGGATGTGTTGGGACAGTACTCGACTTGTGGATTCAAGGAAGTATGAACACAGAGTCTACATAATGAAGGGGAAAAGATACATTTATCTCCCAAGTACACTGTTGATTTCTACTTATGTCACTGTGTCCATCCATTTCCCTTTCTTCATTTTAACATCTTATTTAGAAATAATTTCAAACATATAAAAATGTTGCAAGCATAAATAAAGCTTAAAGAACACCCATGTACCCTTTACCCAAATTCACCTATAATTAACGTTTCTCCCCATTTGCTTTATTACTTGTGCCCTCTGTCTATACATACACAGGATACTTTTTCCCTGAGCTATCTGAGAGATGCATACATCAATTTTCAATATTACTAGATTCAATGTTTGTAGATCCAAATTCTTTTTTAAAAGACTGTGTTTTATCTCTATGACAATGGCACCATTATTATACAGTATTTTAAAATGAAAACTTACATGGTATATGTGATACTGTGAAATATATACTTGATCTTCAATCCTGTTTCCTGGCATACAACTTCTAAAATCCTTAGAGTTTCCCAAGTGATATTCTTTTTGTATGCTGATGATTGACTGATGGCTGGCAGCCCATGGTTGCTTCAGGATGGGAATTGATCACCAGAAAGACCAAGGCACCATTAGGGGGTTGGGACTTAACAGCCTCATTCCTGATCTCCAGGGAGAAGAGAGGGGTGGAAAATTAAGTTGATCACTAGTGGCCAATGATTTAATCAATCACGTCTATGTAATGAAGCTTCCATAAAAATCCCAAAGAACTGGGTTTGGAGAGCTTCCAGATAGCTGAACATGTGGAGGTTCCTGGAGGGTGGTGCCTCAGGGAGGGCATGGAAGCTCTGAGCCCCTTCCCCAGTACCTCACCCTATGCATCTCTTCATCTGTGTCCTTTTATATGTCCTTTATAATAAACTGGTAAACATTAAGTATTTTCCTGACATCTGTGAGCCTTTCTGGCAAATTAAACCCAAAGAGGGAGGTCATGTGAACTCAAATTTGAAGCCCGTCTGTCAGAAGTTCTGGAGGCCTGGATTTGCAACTGGTTCTGAAGGGCCTGGGAGGAACAGTCTTGTGAGACCTAGTCCTCAGCTTGTGGGATATAATGCTATCTCCAGGTAGATTGTGTCAGAATGGAATTGGAGAACACTCAGCTGGTGTTCACTACAGAATTGATTGCTCACTTAGTGTGTAGGAAGACCCCACACATTTGGACATCGAAATCTTCTGTGTTGATTGCTGTGATGTGAGAGCAAAGGAAAATGTTTGTGTGTTTTCCCTTCAGAGCGTATTTTAAAGCTAAATTGGTAATAATTGCTTAAATTTACTATATTTGCCTTTATAAAAACATTAAATTTATTTTATGTATGTTTAAACTTGAAGCTATACAATTATAAACATGGATTTACAAGTAAAGCATGTTATAATTTAAATAATTGAGTTTTTCAAATTGGTTTATATAAAATCATAGGCAATATTGTAAAATTACACAGACCTGTCAACTTTTTACACTTAAATCTTCTGAGCAAAATTTAAGGATGTAGTCATTTTCTGGTAATTTTAAATGTCAATATTAATATTTAGTTTGGTGATGTTAATGTGGCTATATTTTCTGATATTAAAAATAACTCTTGGGAATTTAGATCAATAAAATAAGGAGTTAATAAATACCTATATCTGTTTAAAGACATAAAAGATACAACTTAACACTAAAACTACTTGGTATAAAAAGTTAAAGGAAGAAGAATAAAAAGTCACCATACAGCACAATATATTCATGATACATATTTTTATCTAAATATAAACTATAGCAACTTTTCTAAAGCTCAAGGTGAAATAATAAGTAAGTAACCAACGTTTTATGACAAATCATTATATGGTTTATTTAGACTTAATTTCACTTTTAGAATTTATTTTTAAACATTAAATGGCATTATAATTTTACTGGGATAACTACATATGTGTGGTATATTGAAGTTAATAAAATAACGTTGCATGAGAGAAAAAGCATAATAAATCAGAAACAATATAAAAAGCTTTTATAAAAAATAAGATAAAAACACCATATTTCTCTAGTTTGTTCACTCGCCAATGTCTCTGATTCTTTCATATCGTCTTCCTTTCCTCAAATCTTTTACTACCCTCTCCCTCATCATTTCCAACTGGTGACCTTGCTTTCTATTTCATTAAGAAAAGAGATACATTCAGAAGAGAATTGCCAGTTTAAAGAACAATTACAAAGACATCACCCATGTAGTAACCAGCCAGGGCAAGAAATAGAACCCTTTAATATTTCATTAAGAAAAGAGATACATTCAGAAGAGAATTGCCAGTTTAAAGAACAATTACAAAGACATCACCCATGTAGTAACCAGCCAGGGCAAGAAATAGAACCCTTTAATAAACTAATCCTCTCCTCCCACCACTGATGACATCCCTCCCTCCATCTTAGGGCTAGCCTTCATGCTGACTTTTGTGATAATCATTTCTTTGCTTTTGTTTATAGGCTTTCTTCCTTATAAGCATCCCTAAAGAACAGTTTTGTTTTACAGATGTTTGAACATTAAATGCTTTTTAAAACTTGGAATTGTGATGATCTTGTTTCACTCCTCATTGCTTGTGAGACTCATCGATATTGCAGATAGCTGTAGTTGATCTATTTGTATTGTTGCACAGTTTACCATTTTATAAATATACCATAATTTATTCATTATAACTTTGAGGGACATTCTGATTGTTTGCAGGTTTTATTTTTACAGTTTATTAGTTTTATTGGTATATAGTAATTGTATATGTTCATGGGGTACATGTGATATTTTGATACATGTGTACTATGTGTAATGATCAAATCAGGGTATTGGGATATCCATCAGCTCAAACATTTATCTTTTTTTTACGTTCGGAACATTCCAAATCTTCTAGCTATTTTGAAATACACAATAAATTGGATACTGTGATCACTCTGTTGTGCTACTGAACACTAGAACTTATTCCTTCTCTCTAACTGTATTTTTGCAAGCATTAACCAATCTCTCTTCATTCACCCCTCTGCAGTACCCTTCCCAGCCTCTGGTAAACACAGTTCTACTTTCCATCTCCTTGAGATCAACTTTTTTAGCTCCCACATATGAGTGAAGACATGAGATATTTTCTTTCTGTGCTTAGCTTATTTCACTTCACATAATGTCCTCGGAGCTCATGTATGTTGCCACAAATGGCAGGATTGCATTCTTTTTTTTTTTTTTATAGCTGAATACTACTAAATTGTGTACATATACCACATTTTATTTATCCATTTATTTATTGATGGACACTTAGATTGATTCCATAGCTTGGATCTTCTGAATAGTGCCACAATAAACATAGGAGTGCTGATATCTCTTCCAGATACTGTTTAAAAAATTTTTTTTCTGATATATGCCCAGCTGCGAGATTGCTGAATCATAATGGTAGTGCTAGTTCTAGTTTTTTGAGGAACACCCATAATATTTTCCATAATGGCTGTACCAACTTACATTCCCACTAACAGTGTATGAGAATTCCCCTTTCTCCACATCTTTGCCAGCATCTGTTAGTTTTGTGTGTGTGTGTCTTTTTGATAATGGTCATTTTAACTGGGATGAGATGAAATCCAATTTTTGACTGTTACAAAACAGTGCTACCATGATTGATCTTGTCCTTTAAACACAGGTATTTCTAAGGCATTTATGTAAGAATGGAATTACTGGTTTATGGAATATGAGCACCTTCAATTTAATTGGATGATGCCTAACTTCCTCATGGCATGTACCAATTCACACCCGTAATAGGCAGGTTTAATAGTTCTCATTGCTCCACCTGCTGGCCAACACATGGTATTGTCAGACTTCTTAATTTTTGCCCTTCTAGTGGGTGTAAATGGCATCTCATAATTTGATTTTCCTGATTACTAATAATGTTGAGCATATTTTCACTGCCGGTTGAACATTTGGATTTCCTCTTCTGTGAAGCATTTATTCTAGATATTTACCGTTTTTTTATGTTGGGCTGTATGACTTTTTCAAATTAATTTGTTGAAGTTATTTAATTTTAGTTCTTTCTTTTTTATATGTGTTCCATACAACTCTCCCCACGTTGTCACTTATTTTTCCATTGTAATGATTTCTTTGGACTAACATAAGTTCTAATTGTAAGATAGACATCAAAGTTATCAATCCTTTCTTGTGGTAAGTGCTTTTTGTGTCTTTTCAATAAAATCTTTCTATACCCCAATATCATAAAGATATTCCTTTATATGATAACATTTAAAATTTTTATGGTTTTGACTTTCACATATAGGTTTGTAATACACTTGGAAGTAACTTTTGTGTAGAGTATGAGAATAGAGGTCCATTTTTTTCTTATGAATATCCAATTGTCCCAATATCATTTGTTGAAAAGTTTTTCCTTCTCCCATTCAGTTAGAATGGCAACTATGTCAAATACCAAGTGTTCATATATTATTGGGACTATTTCTGACCTGTCTGTTCTATTCCATTAGTTTATTATCTAGTCCTGTGCCAATACAGCATTGCCTGTATTGTAATAATAATAAATGTCTTGGTATCTGATAGGGAA